AAATAACTCCTTACAACATTCAGGGTATTAAACCTAAGGCAGGATGTTGAGGAATAAGAGGAACTTTGGACAAATGCTCGTCCGAAGCTCTGAATGAAATTCTGGCTAAGACTTGTAAATCTTTTGTAAGACAATTGAAAGACAGTAGGTCGGTTTGAAAGACTTTCATTATTCTGGCTTTCTGACTTTCATGTCTTACAAAAAAACTATCTTGCAGTCGCAATGGCCGAGTCAGAAAAACATTCGAAGATTCGAAAGATCCAAGTTTTTCGAGGTCCAGGCAGTGAATTTTTTGAGTTTTTTCTTTCGTTTTTTTATTTAATTTTCTTTGAATTATTAGATGTTATTGTTTTTTAATTTCACTTTTGGATTTTATCGTTTTAAAAATAAAAAATATATCTACATATCGTCACCTGAAATGCAAAAAGACGTAACAAACACCATCGTTGAAATGCAAAAAGTCATAACTAATAAAAAAATTCAAAATTCACTTTTTGATTTATATGATGGATTTCATTGACTTACAACTCTGCACATCATTTTATGAAAAATAATTAAAATATTATTCACACCTTTTACATTTCATTTACGATGTTGTTAAGTGTTTTTGCATTTCCGGTGACGATATATATATTTTTCAATTTCATAAAATTCATAGAAACCTATTTTTTCTTTTTGTTAGTTTTATATATTTTTTTTTGATTTCTTTTAATTTTAAGATTATATTTTTCTAAAAAGAAACGTGTTTTTAATTTTTTTTTATTTTTTTAAGAACTTATTTTAAATTTTTTAATAATTATAGTCTTTTTATTTAATTTTCATTTGATTTTTAGTTGTTATGGCTCTAAAAAGAAATATATTCGCTTTTAAATCCCTTAACTTTTGGAAATTTTTATAATTGTGTCTTTTTTTTTAGATACATTTTATTTTTATTTTTTTAACACAATTTTCTTTTAATTTTTAGTTTTTATGGTTTTAAAAATAAGAATATATGTATGTTCATATATTTTTTGAACTCGCAGGCCTGCGAAATTTACATATGTAATAAGTATACAAGTATACATATTTTAGAACTTTTAGCAATTTGCATGGAAAGAAGAAAATTAATAAACTTACAATTGAATTTTTTACTTAACAACAAAAAAAACCGCCGACTTGAATATTAAAATCTGGGAGTGCCGTAAATTTCTGCATGATCCAATGAGCGGATCTAACAAAATATATATATATATATATATATATCGAAATGAGTACACTTGATCCAATGTTTTGCTCTGACATACATAAACAAATATTCATAAGAATTAATAACCTCGTTCTTTTTGAAAATTCAATTATAAATTAATTTTTGTATTTTCATGCAAACAACTATCGATGTGCTTGAGAAAACTCAAAGATGTATAATCTAATTTACCACACCTAGATATTCCAAAAAAATAACATAATTATTGGAGGGGGTAAAAAGTTAAATTTTGCAGGCCTGTGTTTTTAGAAAACTTATTGCTAAAAGACTAACAGAATACGGCAAATACCCCCAAGTTAGCAGATCTTTCAATTTTTCTTTGGAAAGGCAGAAATAAGAGCTTACAAGAAAAGGGCTTACGAATGTCTTTTAAAAATGACTGGTATTACTGATATGGAAGTTCTAACCTACAAAAAAAGTACAGTGTAAGGAGTCACGCCAGATAAAAAAAAAAAACCCAAGCCTAATACATATATTATTAATTTTATTATCAGCTACACATATCATATAAGTACTTACGACGGGCACAAGAATATAAACATTGCAAAATTGGCATTGAACAAATTGTTACGGCGCGCTTTGTGTACAAGGGTTCTGAATTTATTCTTGGGATCTTCAAAGCTGTTGATTTCCAAACCAAAGATAACAGACCCGATAATATCAATGGCATAGCTGTGGAATAAATAGATAAGCATAAAATCAATTCGTAGTTATTTCTTTGTTATTTAGATGACTCAGAGAGTAACGAGTAGTACGTAGACTCATTTTGGACTCATAAATTCTGAGCACTCAGAAAATTGTTTAAACATTTTAAAAAAGTTATAAGATTTTTAAATAATTGTTTCACAAGAATAATGAAAAGGTTTTCTCTTTAATCTTGTGAATATTAATATTAGGTATACGAGTAGCTACATAAATTTACAAAAGAAAAATTAATACTCACGTCACAAATACATCTTTCAAGTCCAACTCCGCGCTACCCTCCTCCGGCAGCACTTTATTCAGATGTGCAACCATTTTATTGCCAATGTCGTCGGAAGTGTGAAACATTGCCTTCAATTTGCCCGAACTGAAGGAAGGTGTAAGCTTCTGACGCAACGAGCGCCAACTTTGACCGCGTAAACCAAATAAACTGCATGACAAGGGATCACGCTTCTCGTCCACATAAATGCCACGATCGTGAAAACTACTAAAATCTTGTATAAGTATTTGTCGCGCCAATTCTGGATCGCGTATTAGCACCGCCGGTCGAAAGAGTAAATAAACGCCCACGAATGGTGAATTTGACTTTAAGTAGGCGTCATAAATTGCCACGCCCATAGATTTTTCATGTTTCACCACCGATTTCAAACAACCGCAAGGTATTTGCATATCGGTGGGATCGGTGGGAAAATTACGACGATTCCAATAAGAATACTGCTGTCTGATCAGCCAGAAAAGTATTGTAACCAGCAGTAGACCAAGGAGTAGCACAATCATTTTCACTTAAATGTGTTAAAGTAATTACATATGTTATTTTGTTGCACTTTGAACAACAAGTATTTAAATGTTTATAATATATATGTAAGTCGTATATGAACCGGTATAAGAGTGAACGCAATATTGACTACTACTACGCTACTTTTCCACGTCCTATTTGGCGTATGGCCTGCAGTAAACTGATTTTTAGTTGGGTAGCTGCACTGCTGAATTCATGAAAAAAAACCCAAACAAAGGCGAGAAACGATCCCTGCAGCAATAAGGCGGTCAATTTTCCGTTAAGGACTAGTACTTCACTGGTTAAAATTTGACTGGTCAGAATTGGACATTTGCTTGCATCGCAAAATTTCAGCCTTCGACCAGTCAGCCCCCAAGGAACCGGCCTAGAGATAGACGAACAGTTTGGCAGTGACAGGGTGGTGTTGTCTTGCAATTCAATAAAAAAAATTTAAAGAACACTACCCTGTAAATTCCCCAATCGCTTGGTCTGGCCTTGATGCAAAGTGAACATTTGAACTCACATTTAGATGTGAGGCTGTAGCTCAATGCGCAGAGATGCTTGCCACTATTTGTTAGCTTTCAGGAGGGTCCGGGTTCAAATGCCGTCAGAAGCAACATGGTTATAAAATTATATATTTTTTTTGTGTTTCCGAATTATGAAAAAGCATCTGCGAAGTGTAGAACGCAATCTTACTCCAACGAAAAAAATCTCCAAAATTGGACTAGTCCAGGACTATCTTACGGTCAGTGTTGATTGGACCGGTCCTTTTTCAATGACACGCCAATGCTAAAATGGCAGTTGAAACTATTGGCAGGGGAATTATGAGGGACTAGTGCTGGTAACAATAGAGACTATCTGAGGGCTAACCTAGGGTGAGTGTGAATTGCTGCAGGGATCATACAGTGACGTTATCTTGTGCATATTTACACTTGCATAAATATCTCCATATGTACATACGTAGCAGTAGTATATGTTATGATTCTTATCAACAAACAAGTCGGTTTTTATCTCTCTGGCTTTTATTTAAAACTTAACTAAATGATTTCATGGTTAATTGATGAAATTCATTGTATTTAGCGGACTATCTAATAAATATCGAGGTGCATTTCACCACAAAGAAATTTTGGCAATTATCTACACTACATACTTATGGATGTACTATATATAATATATGATTATAACTACATAGATAGCTACGAGTAGAGCATGAGTTCGATAATAACCGCCTTTGGCGCCGCACAGTGGGGCAAAAAAGGTTGCTGTGGCCAAAATCAATTTTGACAAGCCAAATATGAACCGATTTTAAGTTCCTTTTTTGTTAAGAAAAGATAATCAAATTTCGCGTGGAGCTATCCGTGGCGATTTTTTTAAAAAAGCTCTGGATTTTTATTTATTTATGTTGAAAGATGAAAGAAAAAAAATTTACGTTTGAATGCTTCCGCTTTTTTGGAAAATACTTGAAATTAATTTCAAATGTCTGCAATCATTTTAAAAATTATTCATAAACACTTTTCTATAGGATAGATTTAGTTAAAAAATTTATTTCATTTGTTATCTCTACTAATATATATGTATGTATGTATTTTGAAGGCCGTTTTTCTTTGTTCGAAATAGTCGAGAACAGCTGCACCGATATTTTTGAAATTTTAAACATCGACTCTAGACCCTCAAAGGAATAGAATAGAATAGAAGGAGGATAATTTCGATATATAAAGAGGACGTGGCACCTCCCATACCAACTAAAGTTTCACACAACATATCATATGTGGTGTGAAAACTTCAGTTTGTATGTGAGGTGCCGCGCCCATTGATATATCAAAATTATTTTTCATCTATTATCAGCCTTGGAGAGTCTAGATTCGATGCTCAAAATTTCAAAAATATCGGTACAGCTGTTCTCGAGTTTTTCGAACTGAAATATATATTAGTAAAGATAACAAATTAAATAACTTTTTAACTAAATGTGTCCTATAGAAAAATATTTACGAATATGTACTTTTTTAAATAATTGCAGACATTTGAAATTAATTTAATGTATTTTCCAAAAAAGTTGAAGCTTTTAAACGTAAAATATTTTTTCCTTAATTTTTCAACACAAATAAATAAAAACTTGGAACTTTTTAAAAAATCGATACGGATAGATCGACGCGAAATTTAATTATCTTTTATTAAAAAAAAAAATAAACTTGAAATCTGTTCATATTTGGGCTTTCAAAATTAATTTGTTCACATCAACTTTTTTGCCCCACTGTGCGCCGTAGGCCGGTGCACTTTGTTCCCGTGTTGCATAGATACAAAAGCAAGGCGATGTAGTTTTATGAGTGATCTTCACATATCGCACACGATCTTTAAAAGTGACACAACTCAAAATTTGGCATTTTTGAAAAAATTCACTTAAAATGTACACAGAGCTCTTATTTACCTTTCAGCAAAATCTGGAGCAATTTTTTTTTTTATAAATTATTGAAAAAGCCTTGGGTAAAGTCTGCCTTGCCCATATGATTAGCATGTGCTACGAAATAGTTTTTCGCATATTCTGACGAACGTGTAATTTTGAGTTGTGTCACTTTTGAAGATAGTGTGCGATATGTAATCGTTCACTGGACTATCGAGACCCAGTCCACCTTCTTCTTCTTGGTTGGCGCTCGCCGAGTCCAATAAAACACACCTGTCGTGAAGAGAAGTTCTTCTCCACCTAGCCTTCCCATGGCAGAGGAGCTGGAGCTTGTCAGTTCATCGTCTGCGGTAATCGCCATCGCCAACGCGCTAAGGACCGTAAATCTTCCGCAGAATCTTCCTCTCCGCCTTATCAGATGTTGTTCTTCTTCATGCCTCCGTGCCAGTACGGGCGTGATTAGTGGCTTATAGATATATTTACTTCTGAAATGCCTATTCAGTCCAAAGTACCACTAGGTGGCATGAGTGATTCTCCCTTGGATTGCAGGGCTGACATTATTACTTACTAGAGATTATGGTATCAACAACTTCTTTTCATACTGGCGAAAGCGGCTTTGAAATCTATAAATAGGTGGTGTGTGTCGAACCTATTCTCGCGGATGTTTTCCAATATTTGGCGTGTGGTGGATACCTGGTCTCTGGCGAATTACCAGTACAAAAGCTACACTGATAAGGCCCAATCAGCTCGTTGACGGTGGGCTCCAGCCTTTCACACAAAGGCTGATGCAACGGTGGTGGGCGCATATGGCGTAGTCGCCTTTCTTGTGGAATGGGCAGAGATCACTTAAATTCCAATCATCGGACGCGTATCTGACCATATTTTACATAAGAGTTTACATGCACCTTATCAGCTTGTCGCCGCCGTACTTCAATAGCTCAGCTGGCTGTCAGCTCCAGCAGCTTTATTGTTTTCCAGCCGCGTAATTGCTATTTGTACCCCGCAATAATAAGGTATTGTCGTCAAGCTCAACTAACGGATTCCCCAGTAAGCGAGCAGCCTCAACGGGGTCTGTCCACAGGGGAAAAGGCGTTAGCTTTGTCAGGTTTTCCGGGCATACGAAGAGATGTTTCGAGTCGTGGGGTGTCTCTCCGCATGGCGGACACTCATTTGGCCCATCTGCGTCTAATATGCTCAAGTATGAGTTTAAACTGCTGCAGTTGTCAGAGCGAAGTTGGGCTATTGTGGTTCTAGTTGTTTTTGTTGTTGTAGCAGCATGCAAGTTCTCCAAAGGGTTTTTGGGGAGTGTTGCTGGAGTGACAGTCCTTGGCCAGATATAAATCTGGGTCGTTCCGGTTACGTAGACCCGACTGTAGTGGGAACGTCTCCCTATGTGGTTATACAAGTAAAAGTAAAAATACTTGTTTGTTTTGTAAACTAGTCAATAAATCTGTTCTGAATTCATGAACTCGTTTTTTTTTTGTTTTTCAAATAAAATGTGTTATGATTGCTATAGAAAACCAAATTATAATAAAAAAATTAAGTTTTTTTGTTATAAAATCTTTAATAAAGATATTTTCTGGGTTTTTTGAAGATTAAATCATTACCCGGAAGGAAATTTTTCTGGCAACACTGAGCAACTACAGCAATTAATGTAGCAGTGATGCTGCAGTACTAAATTTAAAAACTAGCCGTTGTGGTTTTAAATCAAATACAGGTTTTAGAAAATCAGTTTGTATATTTGATAAGCTAACGTTGAGCACTTACTTATGTTTCAAATATATCCTATGAACAGGAGTTTTTGTAAATAAAATAAAATAAAATGGATGGCGGTTCAAATTGGTTTTTTATCCTTCTCATCACCTTGTAGTTTGACGTCGAAAAATATGCACAATAATGCAACACTGCATACTTTGTAGTTTTTTCTCTGCTGTCAAAAGTTGTTTGACATTTCCGCTGACAGCAGCGCTGTTGGCAATGCTGTCAGTTTCTTAGAAAATTTCTCATAATAAACTTGTGTACGGTGTGCGTGTTTCATCAAAATCTTTCATTTTCGCGAGCTTCCATTCATTGGAGTGGATAAATGTTTAAACCAAATTTGAGGTTTGATCAAAATTTTACAGGAAGACCGAAGATGTGCAGATAAATAATATCATCTCATAGAAAAAGTGTACTCAACAGAGTGAAGAACGTGTTGTGCAGTGGAACTTTTGATTTATTGCCGTGCTTTGATTTGGTTTCCAAGTGGGAGGAGCACAAACTCAGCGATATTCCCAAAAAAGGCAAGTAAGTACGAACAAGTAATTTTATAAACAGATACATATAAATGTATCTTTATATATTAGGTAATATTGCTGCAAATTGTTTGTTAAGATAATCAGCATTTTTGCGATTAACATTTCCGAGTTTGCGGATATACATATTTTGTTTAGCTCTCTTTTGGAAGTCACATGTTGTGCTCTTAAAACATATATGTATGACGCCGAAAAATTTCGCTAATCTAAAGCGATGAAGCAAAATCAAGAAATATGTATATACACATAGATATATGTAACTTTTAAGCATCTAAGGCTGATTTGTGTTGAAAAGATTATAAAATGATGC